GAGGACCAATAGCAAGAGTATGTCTACTTGGAGGTAGGATTGGCTGCTCAAGTATAGTTATTTTATACCTTTCAACAGTTTTCAGGGACGCGAGTGGACGCCCATATGATGGGTGCGTGGAAGCACCAAGTTGGAGGCAGGAGCCTGCAATAATCGTAACGTTACGTACCATTTGTAGCTTCACATCGTTGATTACTACTGGTATAGTTAACGTTATAGCCAACCACCTCACCGCCTCGCTAGTATCGACGTTGTCACACAACCACCACCATCATCCAACCCCAAATTGCGCGGATCGGCAGCAGCGTTTTCGAGGAAGGCAGGTCACATGGTGTTTTGGAAAAGCATGGACATGTTCATTCCAAGAGGATTTGCAAAGCACCTCCTCAGCTTGAGTCGCGCTGAAATGCGTTCCAGAATCGGCGCGGTTGACCACTGGACCAGTTGCTCTTCTCGCGTTGAAGCATGGCAAGTACGACCGTTCAACGTACTTCAACGTACTTTTATTTCTTTTTAAGGCATTGCTCATAGTGCCATTTCGAGTCCTTGCTAGCAAGTGCACCATGTGTTTCAAGTCCTTCCACCTACAGTACTTCGACGCAAACACCACTGCCGGCGATGTGGCTCGGTACGTTTCACTACCCCCACTCTCTGATCGTGTTGGGCCAACTGATGCGTTGGATAGTCGATGTGCAGTCCGTGCACTGTGCTCTTGCGCTGCGTCGACCGGCCAACGAATTCTCGAACCAACGACGCGACAGCAGCGGGCAAAGTTCTGCAAGTCGTGCTGGGTGCAGGCCAAGGTGGACACGATACGACTCAAGGAGGAAGTGAATGGAGACAGTCAATCGAAACCAACAGCGCCGTGACGAGCGACACGGCGCACCCCGTCGCATATTTGGTTTCCCCTACCCGCAACGGCGACTGTAAGTTACATTGATCTCCGTACTACAACTGAAACTCTTGTGGGTTAGACTTTTTCGTGACCAACATGCACCGCTCTGTACCCAATACCCGCACTAGCTATCTCACAGTGTCGTATGCACTGTCACCAAAACTTGACTCGACACCGTCCAACGTTCCAGCACGTTCCACGTCATGTAGAGCCAGATACTGTATGCCCCCGAGATCTCGATGCTGTCGACCGACTTTTCTGAATACAACTTGACGTCGCCACTGCAAGACCACTCCCCCCGTCAATGGAGCCCCCCTTCCAAGCCACATCAGAGCGACCACCTGTCACAAGTGCCATCACAATCGCCGGTGGAGAGGGATCAGAGTCGCTCATAAGTTTACATGGTTACATGGCTGAACAACCACCGGTGGAGGATCACAAGGGGATGAACATTGCAGTAGCCCCCTCACCTCCAGGCGACACTTTTCGCAACTGTTTCAAGAGCGGAACTACGAATCCACACTACGGAGCAGCATTGACCATTGAGTCCGGCGCCCCAAAGCAGCAACATCGGTGTTAACCCTCTAGTGGGTACAGAAATAACAAGTTGGCATTGTTATCTACTGGGTTCTTTTTCGACGAAGTTATTGGTCCACCAAAACCAACACTTGTCGTATCACGGTCGATTCAACTTCATTCAACATTAAAGAGCCTTCATGAAGGACCGTCATTGCTGTCAACAAAGATGGTATCTAATCTGGAAACGGTGGGAATGTCGATGAAGTGGGGCTCAGGGGGAACGAGTTGAATCGCGTCCAACATGGGTGTGACAGGTCGATACTCCAGCGCGAGGCTGTCGACCGAGTCCATTTCACTCACGGGCTCTTCGACGATCTCTGGGCCAAGCAGCGTCGCGCTGAAGTCGACACCTGGCGCTATCTTGACGCGGTGCACAAGGATCGAAACGGACCGACTGGACGCCAGCGACGTGCACTCGTCCATGACCTCCTTGATGGACTTGCGCCGGTTCACAGGTCCGGGCACGACGCGACTGCGGTAGTATGACTTGAGTTCTTCCAGCGCCTTCCGAATGCCTTCGCGCTTTGCGTCTTCGGTGCGCTGCACAAGACACATGAACGGACGATGCGGGGGCGGCTGGCGGGACCGCAAAGGGGGTGCAGGGGGGGTGGGCGCCCCCACAGCAACAGCATACGCCGTCGTTCGGTATTGTGGGTACTGCTGGATAGAGTAAACGGTGTTGTCTTGGTTGGTTGTTGGGGACGAGGATGCAGGACCCTTCATGCAGGCCCGTGGTACTGCCGAGTAGTTTTGACGAGGCTGCTCCAGATCAAAGTGACAGGCATTTCTAGACGGTGGCGGCTGGTCGGGGGACTTGGCTGGACTGCGCCGAACCAGGTGGGGAAGGGGGGTGTTAGTCGCCAGGGCGTGTGCGGCCACGAGCCGTCGGGCGTCGACGCCACCTAACGACAAGGTCGTCTCGTTGTCGTTGGATTGGTGCTGTGGCTTTCGAACGGTTGGAAGGCGTAACGGGGGATGGTGCCTTGTGGGATGTTGCTGTTGAAGCCGCAACGCGTCGAACAGGGGGCCAACATCTGCAAGTTGGCCTCGCTTGGCGACGAGGTATGGGTTCACGCCAGTGTGACATCGTGGATACGATTTGGACTGCAATTGGGGCTCCGCATGATGGCATTTCTACAAGAAAACACCCCGGCTCCATCACGTCCATCCACGTATTGCGGTTGCGTGATAGAGTTATACCATTCTAACCACGGCGAACGCAGAGATGGTGGTCTTGGTCGCCTTGTGCTGCAACACCGTGTGCTTTTGAATGAGCTTTCGTAGCAATCGTCCTTTGAACCGCGCCTGCAACTTGACAAAACACCGGTATACTTTGGCAGGGTTGGACACACCAAACTGGTCTTTCACTTCGGCCCGGGCTTTGTGGCCACGAAACACCTTTTGGATGTTGGTGACCTTTTTGTTCTTGAGTTTGGTGCGTTCATCCAGTAGTGTCGTGGACGTCTGCACCCACAGCTTGCGCGTGCGAGGGGACCCGACGATCTTCTTGGCGGTACCATCTACACAATCACATACCCCCTAATACTGCCATCGCCGTGCTTGGAGAATTTATCTATACACCAACCATGCTTGCGCTGCGCATAATGGAACACGGCATTCGAGATGAGGACGCGCGCAGTGCGCATTCGTTTCACCCTTTTTCGCCCGAGGGTCCCTCGAAATGTCTTTTGAATTTTCAAAACTCTAACGCGTTGAATTTCACGACGTGCAGTGCGCTCCAGGCGTAGTCGCGCCAGCGGGTGGCGCCGCCGCACGAGCCAGCCCCGCCCCCATGCTTGGCATTTGATAGCGGCCTGTCAAGACAATTTTTGTTCGTAGTGGTGGCAGTTTGGATGAATGAGATCGCAAACCTGCACCAGTCGCTCCTTCATGTTGGTGGGGGACCTTGGAAGGGCAATCACCCCTCGTGCTTTGGTGGCGAGTCGCGACTTGGGGGGGGATTTCGACGGCCGCCGACCAGCGGGGTCCTGTACGGACGACATTTTCCGCTCGGGAGCTAGGTCAGGGATGTCGACTTGATGGCTGGTGGTGAGTTTGCCATTGAGCATGTTGAGTAAATCCATGGCCTACAAAGATATGTATGAGCCTCTATCCCAGCACACACCAATGATCTCAACCAACAGCGTACGCTGTTGCCGTGATCTTTTGTGGGATCCATAGCTTCGTCGCGATACAGAGCTTGGGCAATGCACTCCTGTCCATTCAAAACGTTGTCAAACAAAATCTCGTTTGTACGAGCTCCACGTACGGCCACGAGGGACGCGTATTCCGTCAAAGTTGAAATGTCGCGCCCGTGAAACGCGTTTTCATTGGTGGATTCGCCCAAGTGTTCGGCCACGTTAAAGTGCAAGTTGTCAAACCCTTCCATGTACCGATCCAGGTCGCGCAACTTGTCTTTTTTATCCACCACGCGATTCACGAGCTAGGGCGACACATGAGCGATGCTACGTCACAGTGACAAACCCCTACCCACCTGGAAGAGACCGATGGCCTTGTCTTGCACCACCAGTGGGATGCACAGCATGCTCTCGGCGGTTTTGTTGATCCTGCCGTCGGATTTGGGTTCAAACAACGAGTTCTACATCCCAACGGAATTATAATGTCGAGAACAGCGTGGAAGGAGTGTGTACCACTCCAGGTTTTTCCAAATGCACGGGAATTTTCCGCGAAAAGCACCGCCCGACAATGCCCATGCCCGGTGCAAACTTGACGTCAAGTTGCCGCTTGGAACTGGACGAGGCGTTGGTGTTGAGCATGCGACTGCGTCGGTCATACAGGTACAACGTGCATGACAAAGACGGCACGAGATCCAACGTCGTGTCGATCGTGTCCCGGAGGACATCGGCCAGAGTGAGGAGGCAAAGCTCGTGGTCGCAGCGCAGGACCGGCTGATGCCACTTGGAGATGTTGGCGTCCACCGGTAAGTCAAACCCCAACAAGCGAAAATGATCGGCGTATTTGCGTTGGATGTCGAGCTTGCTCTTGGACATGGTCACCGCATGTTAATCCAGCATGAAACTGCCATTGACAGCGTTAAACGTCGGTTACGTGGCGGTTACAGTGTTGGTCAGATAATAGGGAGATTTCGCAAACGCCGCGTTCGCGGTCGCATTCCCGTACACTCCATATTTCAATACCGTGTACCGTATATAGGTCCAG